ATCTCCCAGACATAATGACCACCTTGTGCATGAACTGTTGCCTCGAGCCATCCATCCACCTGTCCAGAAAGCGACTGAGGGAGAAGGCCGGAACAGTCAGACAACAGTGTGTACCGGCACGAATGAAGGCGACACAGACGAATCAATGAGGACTATACCGGCGTAGCTTGCTTGTAGTACGGAGATTAGTGGTGGTTGGCGGCCGGCACATGCGAAGAAGAAGAGACTTAAACCGAAAGGCGTGCGTGTGCAGGCACCTCATTCATTCGGCATGCACGACAGGGTAGTGTAGCCTACTACAGTTCTTGTTGGACACTCTACGGAGTAGTGGTAGAACATGCTTCATGGTATCCTCGAAAAAAAAAGGAACATGCTTCATGGGCACGCATAGTACTCCTGCTTGGGTTCAACTCTCTCTCTCTCTCTCTCGCCAAAAGGGTCAATTAACTGCCCATCCAATCTCAACATGGCACTAGTGAGTGAGTGACCGCAAACAAGGCTAATGTTGATTCAGTACAGTTAGGCAGCTACCTAGCTTTATCATCATTACACATAAACAAGAAGGTTGGTTCGGTTCCCTCAAAAGTCTTCAATTTGACGTGATGGGTCAATTTAGGTGGTGTTTGTTTACAGGGACTTGTTGATGTAGGGACTTCAAAAAGTTTCTTTTAGTCCCGTTTAAACCAAACAGATGAGTCTTTTTGAGACTTTTAGTTGTAACATGGTCTTTTAGTCCATATTTAGTCACAAAAACCAAACAGATAGAAAATTTTTAGGGACTAACGATTTTTTAGTTGGGACTAAAAAAAATCATAAGATTTATGAACCAAACAGAGCCTTAATAGTCAGAGATCTGCTTACACGGACCCGGATCATAGATACATGGTACAGAGATTAGACGCACATCAGCCTGGTTACAACCGTATGTGGTTCGAACTAGAGCCCCAGCTGTACAGTTGTTTGCCTTCTTAAAAGTCTTCAATTTGACGTGATGGGTCAATTTAATTTAATTGCCAGAGATCTGTTTATACGGACCCGGGTCATAGATTACATTGCAGTACAGAGATTAGACACGCATCAGCCCCAGCTGTACAGTTGTTTGCCTTCTTAAATCTTAATTATCTCTACATTCTGGCAGACTACGCACTCTGACAGCTCTAGCTCATCTGTACAGTACACAACAACATTCTTCTTCTTATCCTCCTCCTCCCATGTCGATTCTGTTCATCTCTATGCTGCGCCAGCTTGGAGTTGGAAGAACCGAGCAGTATACACGTGTTGCAAATAATCATAAAATGAAGATAACAGAACAGTGCGAATGCTGTGCATGCTTAATTGTTAATTCAGCCGTTGCAGCAGGGTTCTTCTCCGGAAAATGCCAACAGAGGCTGAGCCCCAAGGAGCTCGTTTTCATATTTCAATTTTTTTCAGAGCACGAAAAATTTCAAATTTTTTTGTGAACACGCATACATATGTATATTACTTATGTGCAAAATTTCACAGCATTATACTTTCGCATGCGCGTATAGAAAAAACACAAATACACATTTTTAAACGGGCCTTTTATTGAAAAAGGGTTTCCGCGCTTTGTATACAAAGCAACCAATCGAGACAACCAACTATAGGTGCTGGGACGAAAGCAGCACAGTCACGCCCAAAAGAAAAGAAAGACAAAATACAAGAGAAACAAATGTCGACAACGGCGGATCGACAAAAAACAAAGAAGCCTCGTGACCGCTGCATCCACCGGAGATCGCCCACCATGTTCCGAGCCTCCAAAGCGCCGGTACCAATCAAGACCTCCAAGAAGGGACGCGACGATGACGACGCTGCTGCCAAGGGTTTTCCCCGGTATGCGGTGACGAGAGAGGATGGGTAGCCCCGACGTCCTCCAGAAAGGTCCGGCAGCACCCTCATGCGCCACCACGTCGGTGTCGGCCAAGCCAACATGGATTTCTCCCGATCCCAACCTTCACCTCAGGCACTCCGGAGCTCGCCATCAAACCGACCACCACTCTGCGCCAACCCAGTCACGAAGCTTCCCACGTTGTCTCAACACGGCACCGCGAAGTATGGCCTGCACAATGAAGAAGAGGAGCCGAGACTAGGGCAGCAGCACCGTCGGCACGTGGGAGGGCCCTACCTCCACCGTCAACGACGGTGGCTGACTGAACGCAATAGCAGGAACATACCAGGCCCGTGGCCGCACAGGCCCGACTGGGATCTTCGAGGCCCGTAAAGTTCCCGCCTTCGCGCTGCAGCCGGCACGCCGTCAGCGTCGCCGCCCCTGTCCAAGCCGCTCCCCTGCTTCCCCGCACAGAGAGCGTCAAGGCCGAGCCTTAGCCGGCCCGCTAGGACCCAGATGGGGCCCCATGGGCCCAGATCCGCGTCGGGGTCGCGACACCGGCCACCCAGCACCGCCGGACTGCACCGCCGCCAAGTGGAAGCACCACCACGACCACGCGCACCGCCCGCCACCACCACCAGGTCACGGGACCGCCATCAGCCGAGCCGCACCACCGCCGCACGTCCGCGATGGAGAGGAACCCTCGCAGCCGCCGGGAGCCCGAAGTCGGTCCCCAGCCGCCGCCCACACCGCCCGTGGCCCGCATCGCCTGGCCAGATCCGCCGCCTCCGCCGCCGAATTGCACCCACACACGCCCCACTAGGCAGCCGCTGCGCCACCACGAAGCACCAGTGGGGCCGACACGCCGCCACCACTAGGAGCTCCTGAATCCGCGCCGCCTAGCCCCGCTACAGCCCGACGCCTCCTGCAGCCCGCCGTCCCGCGCCTGCCAGGAGCTCCGTGAGGAGGAGAGGATGCGACCTTGCCGCCACCCACGTCGACCGGGCTTCGCCCGGCAGCACCCCTATGTTAGAGTTGTGTCGAATATTGTGTACAAGGTAGGTTACAGTTGGACTAGGAGTTGTATTGTGTTTACATAGGATGTGGAGTTGTGTCCTAATAGGACACTTGTATCCTAGGCCTCTCATATATAGCGGGGGTAGACACACGATGTAACCTATGCCAACATAATAGCACCGGAACGCAGGGGAAGCCGGCGGCATGTGCCGGTGTCCAGGGCGACCGGGTGCGGTATTGTGGCGGTGTCATGGGGAGGAGCGCCCATAGTCAGGTCCCGGGGATGTAGCCATATCGGTGAACCTCGTTAACAAATCTCGGTGTCGTGCTCGTGTGATTGCTTGGTCCTCGGATGATCAACGGTATGCCTCAGATTTATTGTAACACCCTAGGCGGCGGCGAGGGTGGAGGAGGCCGGAAGAGGGGAAGCTGGGGGCGGAGCTAGGGTTCCCCCGGCCCGCTCGCAGGAGAGGCGGCAGGGGTAGGGAAAGGGGGTCACGGGGAGGGGCTTGAGTTTATTTATATATCTAAACGGGCCTTTGATTATTGTTGTTGGGCCGGATTTTTTTTTTTGTACAACCTACAACGCTATTAAACGGAATTTAATATGTTCTCGCAGAGTACATATATGTTTCCATGGATTATTTTTTTAGATATTTGAAACTCCTAAATATGCTTTTTGATATTTTTAAAATACCATGTTCACTCGGTTCTCCTGCATCCTCCCATCTTGAGATTATTAAAGATGCCATCCGGACATGCTGTTTGCTTTTCCCGCTCTTCTTCAATGCAACCATAACTCTCCCTAATCAATCCGCCAGCTCGACCCATTTATGGGCCCCGGATCACACTGCTCAAAATTCTTCCCAATGCCTGAGCAGTAGCGATCGACATGCACAAGAGGACATCAAAGTGAGGACACACACACCGCTGACATGTTATCATCAACCCAGGTTAATTTTCTCACTCTTTACCTAGCAAGATTCTTCTTTAGTAGTAGTACCAAGAAAATTAAACAAACGCTATATCGTTTGTTTGGTTCAGGGAGCATATCAGAGGTAGCCCAAACGCTCCAGCAAGCATGGCGCGGCCAATGGCGAATCGCCCCCATGGAGAAGCGTGAGCAGCTGAGATATCTCTGATGGAGAGAAAGGTAGATGGGTAGGTAGGCAGATAGATGTATCTCTGGTCACGATCTCTCCATCTGGCCTTGGCATCTTGTCACCTGTCCTCACATTTTCCCTGTGAATTCAGACCAAAACGGCAGCCAATTCCGTCTGAATCATATGCTACGTAGATGTGTATGGGTTGCCTGCCTCGTGTTTGACTTTGACGGGTAATTGTAAGATGCCAAGCGAGACACTGGTCTCCTTGTGTTGCTGTCAGGACAGGTATTTGACCACATTAAGACCTTTTTTTACAGTAAATATTTATTTTTATCAATATAATATCAGTAGAACTATTGTTCTACGGTCTCTTCCTCAAAAAAAAAAAAAAAAGACGGAGTACAAGATACAAGATAGCAGCTACGGTTGCAGAGTTTTCTTACAGTCTCGTTGTCTGACGGAAAACTCTTTCACTGTCAAAAATAAAAGTGCAGTGATTTTTTGGATTTGCTGAGGCTTGCGAATCTAGATGGTTCAGGAAGATTTGTTTATGATCTGTGGCAGTACGATTCAGGAAGTTCGGTTGCCTAATTTCGTCAGATGCTTCCAAGGTTCTTGCCTCATTCAGAACAGAGCAGAGGAGGTTGTCTGGAAATTTCAGGAGTGTGGTTAAGACAATGTAGCAGCTGGGTACGTACAAAATTAGGTGCTGCTCAAACCGGAAGTGAGGCTCATTAGATTATGATTTATTACAAGGAGTTGAGTTCAAGTGTCTTTGATTGGCAGGCATGCAATTTTATACTCACAAAGTAAGATCTTGGGACACAGGTCTCGGTCTTGCTCTGACCATCCAGATGCAGCAAGCAAAAGAACAATGCTCCAATGACTGAACAATACTGAATTTATGATCATAAACACTGAACATTTTACAAATACACTGATTCATCGGCCGTCTTTTAGACTACTGAAAAAAATAAAATGAAACGAGATACAAGAACGTAATGTATGTCGATCGATGGATCGAGCTATGATCACTTCCTCTTGTTCTTGCTGCCGACGAGCAGCACGACGTAGAAGAGCGCGCGGAAGAAGAAGCCGAAGCCGGCGGTGACCAGGAGACACATCCACTTGCCGAGATCGGTGACGGCCTGCTGCGCCAGCACGTCGGCGCCGGTGAGCACGCAGGTCTGGGAGGTCATGCGCGTGCCGAGCGCGTTCCCGATGGCGCCGAGCACCTTCATCTTCATGGCCTCCGGCATGCCGCCGATGGGCGTGCCGTCGAACATCTGCGTCCCGCGCGCGAAGCACCGCGTCGCGCCGCCGCCGAACTCGTTCTGCAGCACCGCCTGGTACGGGTACTTGACCAGCGAGATGTAGTGGAACCAGATCCAGTAGGCCGGGATCCTGTCCCGGTTGATGAAGAAGCCCGAGAAGAGCAGGAAGTAGGCCAGGATGGCCACCACCACCGTGTACCCCAGCATCACGTGCGGCACCACCGCCGACAGGAACGTCACGAACCCGCTCCCCGCCCAGAGAGAGGCGAGGATGATGAGCGCGAAGTAGAGGAACGACGACGCCCCACCGGCGAGACCCACCGCAAAGAACGTGGTGACCGCGAACGCCACCGACAGCGCCACCAGCGGCGGGAACGAGACCACCGCGTTGGCCAGCACGTACGAGGCCCGCCGGTACGCGTTGTGCGCCGTCTCCCGCAGGTAGATGTGCCGCTCCTGCACAAACACGGGCAGCGCGTCCGCGCACACGTAGAACATGGTGGACATGCCCATGGCGAAGAAGCCCAGCCGCTCCTGCACGCCCTTGGGCGTGTCGTCGAGCCGCAGGAAGATGGTCGCCAGGATGAGGCCCGTCACCATGATGGTGCCGAGACGCATCCCGAACAGCTCCGGCATGCGCCGCGTGTTGGTGAAGGCGCGCTTGATCAGCACCCACACCTCCACCGCCATAGGGTTCGCGTACGTCGGCATCTGCAGCTCCGACACCGTCCCCGTCCCGCTCCCCGCCACCAGCTTCCCCCGCGCCACGCTCTCCGCGATCGCGTACTCCAGCGTCATCGGGCTCACCCGCTTGGCGTTGGTGCCGTCCATCGCCTTGTGAGTCGCCTGCCACCTCGCGTTGAAGTCGGCGAGCGGCCCCGTGCCCTGTGGTTGTGCCTCGCGCTCCCGGATGGTGTCCAGCGCGAACTCGGCCGGGTTCTCGTTGTCCGGGATGGGCGCGCCGAACTCCGCGAAAAAAGGCTTGAGTCCCGCGGGCGTGCCGGCGTAGACTGTGCGGCCGCGCGACAATAACAAGAGGCGGCCGAGGATGCCGAGGATGCGCGCGCTGGGCTGGTGGATGGTCATGACGACGACGCTGCCGCTGCGTGCGATGGTGCGCAGCACCTGGACCACCATGAAGGCGCTGGCCGAGTCCAGGCCCGAGGTGGGCTCGTCGAGGAACAACAATATCGGGTCGTGGATGATGTCGGTGCCGATGGACACCCGGCGGCGCTCCCCTCCGGACACCCCGCGGTGCCCCTCGTCGCCGATGATGGTGTCCGCCGCGCGCGACAGCCCGAGCTGGTCGATGAGCCTGTCGACGCGCTCGCGCTTGGCGGAGGGAGACAGCGCGCGAGAGAGCCGCAGCTCTGCCGCAAACAGCAGCGTCTCGCGCACGGTGAGCATGGGGTAGAGCAGGTCGTCCTGCATGACGTAGGCGGAGATGGCGCGGAGGCGGCTGCCGTGGAGCGGCTCCCCGTTGAGCGTGACGTGGCCGCGGAGGCTGTCGCGCGCGATCCGCCCCGCGAGCGCGTCCACGAGCGTGGACTTGCCGGAGCCGCTGGCGCCCATGACGGCGAACAGCTCGCCCTCCCGCGCCTCGCCCGAGATGCCGTCCAGCAGCGCCTTGGTGTTGGCGGGCGGCGCGTCCATGGAGGCGAGGCGGTTGCTGGCGCGCGAGGGGAGGCAGCCCATGAGGCCGCCGCGGCCCTGCCGGACGCGGTAGGAGAGGTCGGTGAAGGAGAGCGTGTAGGGCACCGGCGGCCCCGCGGAGACGAGCAGCTCCAGCTCCCGCTCCCGCTCCGCCTCGTCGTTGGCACCGCCGACGACGTCGACGGCGATGTGGCCCGAGTTGGACATGGTGTTGCGGTCAGGGCAAGAGCTCGATGGATCGAGGGAGGTGAGGTTCGTGGTGTGTGCGAGCAAAACCCGCGGCTGTGTGTGTCGTGCCTGGATCGGAGTGCGTCCGGGTTATATAGGCATGGAGGAGGAAGGAGGTGGTTTCCGAGTCGGGGGGAGGGAAGCGGTCCGAGTCTTGATCAGAGTAGGTTTTTGTGCCGTGGTCGAGGAGGAGCTGCGCGGAGAGCGTGGGGCGGGTTGCTTGCCACGCCACCTCTCCCGCTAGGATTAGTCCCTCCGTGTTACCCTCTCCCTTTCGCACTCCTTCCATAACTAACCTCGCAACCGCCCGCCCGCCCGCCGCCCGGTTGCGAGCCGGAGTAAATTTTCCTCCGGCTGTGCGACCTGCCTGGTGTGAAGGCTTGATGGTGGCACTACGTACGTATGTACAGTACGTACTATAGACAGATGTGGTGTGAAGGAGCTCGAGGACTCGTTGTACTAGTCGCACTGCAGAGCCTGACGAGGCAATGTGCAGTTGTGCATAGTCAGAGTTGAAACTTGAAAGTATACTCACATTGTGCATAATAAGAGTTTCAGTCTTGTGTTTTACTCTCACAGATCGGGTGTTCTCGCAATATGCATGCATGCATGCATGCATGTTCCTGGCCCTGTTTTTTATATTACAAATGTGGAGTGTTCGAACGAACGAGCGTCTAGATTTCCTCGCAAAGAACAAAAATGAAGAGGATAGGCATGTGGATTTCTCCCTCCTCAAACTTCCGGTTTAGCATCACTTCTCTTTCAACGCTTCTTTATTATATTTAACTATCATGCCACTGTTTAACAAAACTCTCGAAAAAAAATACACATGTGCTAATAACAAAAATACACAATGTGTCAAACCTTTACACTTCCATCTACTAATAAGAAGTCATTTCTCCAACCAAACTTATCTTGATGTCACTACTCCCTCCGTCCTGAAGAATGTACATCTAAATTTTTTTGAACAAATTATGAACTTGAGTAAAAAATGCATTGAAAAGATGCAAGCCACCATCTCTCTTCTATTTAATTATTCACCCCTCCAATGAGCTAACTGCATGTAGAAATTTAGAACACCATGTATAGATTACTATTGCTCTTGATTACCGTGTGATGAGACAAAAGTATTTTTTTTACTTTAAAGTGCATTGGAAAGATAGAAGTACACTTTTTTGTGGACAAATTTTAAAGCTAGATATACACTCTTCACCGGACGAAGAGAGTACATCACAATGCCCAACTTCTGGCTTGTGGCGGGAAGATGTCTCCTCACCAGTCTGCTAGGCCACTGCACTGCAGCCCGTCGTGGAGTGCTGGTTGACGCGACTAGCGGAAGATTCGATTTGTAGGACGATGACTGGAGCACCGCTTCTTGTCAAAGGGAAAACTCTTGTATTGGCCTTCGTTGGTCGAACTTGGAAGCGACAAACTTACATCCTTACCTTGTTGAACGCGTTGTCTACTAGCTGATGTGATGGCTTTCATTGGTCGAACCTGAAAGCGACAAACTTGCATCCTTACCTTGTTGGACGCGTTGTCTACTACTTGATGTGATGGCCTTCATTGGTCAAACCCGAAAGCGACAAACTTGCGTCTTTACCTTGTTGGACGCGTTGTCCATTAGTTTTTTTAGGGAAGGCCATCATGTATAGCTTTATTGATTAATGCATAAAGATACATCGTCTACGAGCTTTCTCACCAGACAATCTGGAGGCTCGTCAGTCCAACTAGAAGAAAGTTTATTACAATAACTAAAATTAGCTAGCACATGCGCCGCTTGATTTGTTGATCGAAAACAATGCTTAAAGTTGACCTTCCCAATCAAGGTAGAGATGTCCACACATTCCACGAATATCGCTGCCGCCGCGTCCCACCAAGTACTTTGACCGGAGCAGCAGTTGATCACCGTTAGAGAGTCGGATTCCGCTTTAACTCGCTGGAATCCTAGGCTATTTGCCAAGTTCAGTCCGTCTCTCATCGCCATTGCCTCTGATGTCATTGCGTCCGCTGCATATGGGATAAACTTACATTTAGCTGCAAGGAAAATACCTCGTTCATCCCTAATAATTGCTGTCGTAGCTCCAACTCCTTGCTCCACAAAAAAGGCCGTGTCCACATTAAGTTTGATGAACTTTGGGTCTGGCCTCAACCATCTTTCCTCTTCTGTCACAACTATTTTCACCATGGCTCGTTGATAGTTGCTTGTAATTGCCAAGACCGACAAAGGCCATCTTACCATCGGCGGGCAACTCTCATTATGTGTTATCAGGCGGCGTGTCCACCAGAGGTACCAACATCCCACCACTACGACCTGTTTAATCTCCAATGTCGGCATTAGAGGTAGTGGCGTTTGATCAATAGACAAGATATACTCCATAATAACCGACCCAGATCTATCAACATTTGTTGCGGTGTTGATGAAATTTGTCAATCCAAGTCAGCCCCACATACCTCTTGAGTGAATACACGTGAAGAATAGATGGCGAATATCTTCAAAGCTCTTGTGGCAAATTGGGCACCCTCCAATTTCCCCAACATTTCTATTAGCGAGTATACCTTTTAGGGATAGAATTCAGTGCAGTAAATGCCAACAAAATATTGAAACTTTACATGGAATTTACAGCTTCCATCATGTACTCCATACCGCTGGAGTAGCAGAACCTCCCGGTCGACTGATGTCATTTGCATGCGCCCCAAATTTATGTAACCATTGGATTCTATAAGCTGTTCGAACCAAGAACATCCCTTTTTTATCAGGGTGCCATGCGATGAAATCGTCAAAGGCATGAAGACTTAAGGGGATTTGCATAATCCTTCGAGCATCCACGGGATTAAAAATCATATTAATGAGTTGTTCGTCCCAAAGTCCTGTGTGAGGACCAATCAAGTAACTCACCACCGATACGACTGTTTGACCTCTCGGCGTGATGTAACACTCCGGATGTAATTTACCTTATATGTATCCCAACTCTTGCCGTTTCCGGCCTAAGTTATATTATTTTCCTCGTTGTCGGGTTTTTGTCTTCGTGTGTTGTTGTCTTGGTTATGCATCTCATATCGTGTCATCATGTGCATTGCATTTGTATACGTGTTCGTCTCATGCATCCGAGCATTTTCCCCGTCGTCCGTTTTGCATTCCGGCGCTCCTATGTCACCCAGTGGTCCTTTGTACCTCTTTTCGTGTGTGTGGGTTAAACATTTCTGGATTGGACCGAGACTTTCCATGCGGCCTTGGTTTACTACCGGTAGACTGCCTGTCAAGTTTCGTGCCATTTGGACTTCGTTTGATACTCCAAAAGGCCTCGTGTGTGTTGCAGCCCAACACCCTTCCAATTTGGCCCAAAACCCACCTAAACCTCTCCCATCATCTAGAGCGTTCGATCACGATCGCGTGGCTGCAAACCGCACCTCATTCTGAGCTTCCTAACTCCTTCTACCTCTATAAATAGTTCATCTCCCGAAAATCCCGGGTCTCCTCCCCCCTAATCCTAGGGAAACTCCACCCGCCGCCGGCGGACAAAAATCCGGGCAGCGGACGTGTCCAGCCATCGCCAACACCTCGCTCCGCCCTATCCGGTGCTGCCACATCAGCTGGCCGCCGCCCTCGCCCAATCGGGCACCGCCATCTGCCGCGCGCCGCCTCCCACCACCGCTATGCACCGCGCCAGGCCCGTCGGGGCCCGGATCTGACCCTCCGGGCCCGAGCCGCCCATCGCGTCGCCGCTGGCTTCCCGCGGCCGCCTCCCGTGCGCAGCACCGCGCGCCGCCTTGCTGCACGCGCCCCGAGGCTCCACCGCCCGCCGGATCCCCGTTGCCGCGCCGCTTCTCGCCTTCCTCCGGCGAGCCGCCGCTGCCGTCAAGCTTCACCCCGCGCCGGTAGCCCGCGCCCCGCCGCCGTTCGTCGCCGCCTCCCCGTTCCACTTCGCCGGCGACGACCATCCGCGCCGACCCGCAGCTTCGGCCGGCCTCCACCTCGCAGCTTCGGCCACCACCACCAACTCCGGCCGTCTTCAACTACTCCGGCGAGAACCCCGGCGCCACCTCGAGAAGCGTGCCCGATCCAGATCTGGATCTGAAAATATCTCGGGGTTGACTTTTTCCCTCCTAATCCCAATATTTTGCATACTTTGACATGCCATAACTTCATCACCGTGGCTCCGTTTTGAGCGTGTAGCATATCAAAATGTTCGCCTCGAAGAGTACATCATTTCATCTCATTGCATCATTTTCATTTGAGCTCATCTTGATGCCTGAAATGCTGTTGGAAGAGGGCTATGTGATGAATTTGTCAGATCTGTTTCAGCAAATAGCTTTTTGACATTGTTGCCATGATTAATGTGTGCATGCTATGATCCTGAGCTCTACATGTGATTTGTTATATGACATGCCATCTTTACAGAGCTGCCTGCCATGTATTTTTGTGATATTTGTGGTGACTAGCAGAAGCATGCAAAGTAGCGTAATCGGTAATGCTGATTTCAGGGACATAGAATTTCACTAAGTCCTTGTCCTGTTTTTGTTTTTATGCTATATGTTCATGTTGTTTCCTAGTGATCCGTGCCTCTTTTGAGGATGATCAGTAAGGATGTTTTGTTAATATTGTTGTGCTCTAACAATCCATGTCTTTGTTTGCATTTATGGAGCACCCTAGCTTGAGTCAATGGAGCTCTACTTTTGCTATAAAATAATCCTCGCAGATTGTTGACATGTTTAGCGATTTTGCCGTGGAGGTTGCTATTGATCCGTGCATGCTATGTTATTATTCTTGCCATGTATTCTTGATGGGTGTATGCTTAGTTTGTCATGCCATGCTCTGTAGTGAGTGCATCGAGCTCGTAAACATGCCTACTCGTTAACTGTTTTGCATGCTTCAGTTTTTCACCAAGTCTGAATCTGTTTATATTTTTGCCATGTTCACATGCTTGCAATTGTATTTTATGATCCTTTTTGGCTCAAGGTCACTAAGGGACTTTTGT